GTCAAAAAAATCAGGTACATGTTGAAAATGAAACAGCATTTCTATTAATCCATTTTAATTAGGATTATGGAACACAATCGCTTCCATACGTCCTCAGATGGAATGCCTGACACAGAAACCTCACCCATCATGGCATTTATTTTTCCATCCATCTCTGTAACACAGGCTTTCCCTTGACCTCCTCCCGTTGCAGTCATGGAGCACCGTGCTGTGGCGAGACGTTTTTTTGAAGCCATTTTCATATCAAACCATTTCTTCTTTATTTCTGAGACTGTACGACTCACAAGAGACACAGAATTAACAGCAGTAGTTATTTCATTCCATTCTTTGGCTCTAGCTGGTCCTTTAATTCCACGAGTGACGCTGCTAAAAAGGACAGATTTTCTTTTCTCGATCTCGGAGAGCAGAACTTCAGTCTCTGAACTCGTAAAGTTCTTCATTTTACTTGTCATTTTCATGAATGGACACTTCCTGATCTGAGGCAGGAAACATAGCCTTATATGGTGCTTTTGGGGGTGGTAATTATGCTAATCTCCTCTCCGCGTGCACGAGCAGCTGGATACGAACAGGTGGCATTAATCATGTTTATGCAGTTCATTTTCGCACTTTTCCTGACGATAGAAGAGTTTGTTGAATCTGACTTGACATGTACAAAAGTAAGAGAAATTTAGGAAAAGAATACGAGCATGTTCTTGCATGAGGCACATACTTTCCTGTAGCCAAAGCCAGACCTGCCTATAAGCAAATTAAGCTGCTGCTTAGGGCCCCACGGCCACTAGGGTGCCCCGAGACAGAAGCATGGTAAACTGAACTGACCATAGAGTTAACACTGAGATGGGCGTAATGGACGCGGGGTACGAGTGGGACGTGCCCCCCTCACTTTCCTATCTGTAGCCTCTGTCCGCTGCACTTTTTTTTACCTTTACAATTGTTTAATCTGCTTTCAAGATGCGGTAACACGTTTTTCCGAGCCGTCTGTAAACGCACCATGAGAACGCGGTGCACGGTGAACACCTGTGGATCACTGAGAGCTGGCTGTCTGAGAGTTCTAGAGGATCACAGAACGGCCGGTTCTGTCGGGTAAGGCGGCTGCTACACAGCCACTTGTGTTTTTGTTCTTTTACCCCATAAAATGCAGCTGACGAAGCTGCTGGTGGATGAAACTAATGTTCAATGAGTAACCCCCACCCCTCCCAAATGGAAAAACAGAAAGAAGAATGGTGAGGCTTGGTTTATGAGTTAAAATTACTTAATAATGACCTGATATTTATGAAAAGATGCTTATTTAATCATATTTTAGGAACATATTAGTATTTTTATCTGTAGGTTGCATGATGTCATGTTAGTTTTGGTTATGAATAGGCCCATTAGGTGATTATCATAATTATACCTGTTTATTGGGTAAAATTATTAATATTCTTATTTTAAACATGTAGTTGAGTCAGCACTGCTTGGCACAATGCCAGGTGTTACAAATAAAACTAAATCAAGAATAGAAAAAAGGTAAAATGGAACTCTAAACTCGTTTGATAAATTATCACATTAATTTCCTGATCTCGGCCAGCAGTGAGTTTAAACGGCAACTTTCTCAGTCTTCTCCACAGTGCTGGAAAGATATCACTCATGCGGTTCCAAGGTCTTCGCTGCTGTTGCATGTTGAAAATTGTTGTGGGGTGGGGGGTGGGGAGGTTTTAGGCAAACAGGCAGAAATGACAACGTTATCTCGCCTTCATGGTGCTGGGCTGTGGATGATCTTCTGAGCGCTGGCCTTTATATAGTCTTCTGGTCTCGGCATCGCTGTCCATCATCGGTCTGGCCCAGGTCTCGGGGTTGGAGTGGACGCGGGAAGAGCAGAGGGTCACCAGGAACCAAATCCCCAGTAACATAAAAACCAAACACACACACAAAAAGAAAGGAAATTATCGGTACAGTTTTCTCTATTTACTCAACAGCATGCAGAAAATGTCAGGCATTTTAAACACTTTTTTTCAAAGATGCCTGTTAATGTTGTTTCAACAAAAATCTTCATAAAACATCCTCAGTTAGACAACCAAAAACACTTTTTGTTCGGTCTGTTTGAAATACTTTTTGTGTATCGTTTTTTAATGGCATGTGAACAAGTCATGCATTCTATTTCAAGTTGGAATGTTTTATTACATTTTTTATACTTCTCTGTATCTTATATTTTAAGATAAAACAAAAAGAACTATCCCCTTGCTTCAGGCAATTGAACAAATTTCCACTTTTTTATATTGACTCAAAGTCATTTTGTAACAGAAACAAGCAAACAAAAATAAAAACACTAGTTCAGCAAAATCTATTAGTCCCAGGGGACGTTTCACCACATGAAAAACAGTTTCATTACTTAAGAGTATCATATTCTCTGTGCATTCAATAAAATATATTTGCCTCTAGCATTCTAATATTGTTTAATTGTTTTGTATTAATTACAACTCAAAACACAGCTATGGTTTTTTTATTATTATTATTACTTTTTGCAAATTCACTTAAAAAACAACTTGAGAGTCAGTTATAAAACAAATGTTTTTATGCTCATCTTAGTGATTTTGTTGCTGTAGAAAATGGGTAATCCGTCGTCCCCGCGTGCCCCCTCCTATTTTCAACACACGGTCCACAGCGGGGGGGGGGACCGGGCCCTGGTCACCCGCCCCAACCAGGCCGCACCCAAAGGAGGTGACACTGCGGGGCCTAAACAGGAAACCCCCAATCCGCTCCATTTAATAGCCCCGGAAAACAGAGAGACTAAAGCATGTTATTTAAAAATGTTTCAAAACAACCTTTTATCATTCTTCTTGATTTTAAGCTTTGAATCATGTTCCAGTAAGCGATCACGGAGGCGGCTGAGCTATTTAAGACTTAAACTGCCACCATCTGGGAAAGCTAATTTATCAACTCCATATCCGCAGACACTTTCATGGCTTCCAGCGCCATATTTATTTACCATCGCCTGTGCTCAAAAACACGCCGGTCGAATTCTTTGGCTGAACTCGTACCCAGGGCACTACCGTATGCAACTTTCTTATAAAGAAAATTGGGCGGCCGCCTTTTAAAATGACTTTTAGCCTACTGTGTCTCCTCAACAGAAACAAAAACGGAAAATTAAATTTTCCCTCAGCAGTTTAATCACATCTAAACTGCCTACACTCACCTAGACAAACAATGTCCTCTTGGCTACTTCAAAACAGAAAGCTAAGCTCCCTGTTTTGACTCGATTTGGAATAAAACGCTCCCAAAATCTATCTCGGCTAAAATCAGCAACCGCAGAAGTGACCAGACGAGCGTCTAACAATTAGAATTTCAGTGTGTGGTGGGCCGAAAATAGCCGTAGCTTTTTGCATAAGGTGCTACTGAAAATATTAGCTCACCATGTTTCTGGCACAGACAGGTTCTTTTCAGCTCCAGTCCCAAAGGTCACCCACAGCGGCCTAAGTAAGGACAGATCACAACCCGGACACGATCAGCAGAGGAAGACAGGTCAGCTTTCTCAGAAAAAACCTTCTTTTCCCATTGTCCAGTGGTCGTCTGAAAAAAGTCGATCGCTGCGGACAAACTCCGGTCCTTGGAGCTCCGTTAACGACAACGCCAAAAATTGTGGTGGCACGATTTACCAAGAATGCAAAAACACGTTGGAATAAATGCACAGAAAGTCTGCGTGTATGGTCGTCATAAGATTCAATTTGAGCAACAACAGAGCAGAAGTCAATCAGAGAAGTCTGTCAAGTTGTGGCTGGCTCGTCAGCACAGAGCAGCTGATAATATAACATCCTGTGACATGCTTAGAACCAATCACAGTTCGCCAACTGTGAACCATCTAACCAATGACAGGGCTGTCAGCCCGGAAACACCTTATCAGAATAAAAGAGGTCATGCATTGCTGGAGTCTTGAAGTCTGGGCTGATAGATTAAAACAGCCAAAACTAGTTATCATGAGATATGATTACTGGACAGTCTCGAGGTAGAACACATATACATAATTAATCCATAACAGATGCTTATTTAATAATCTTTTAGGAACTTATTAGTATTTTTATCTGTAGGTTGCATGATGTCATGTTAGTTTTGGTTATGAGTAGGCCCATTAGGTGATTATAATAATTACACCTGTTTATTGGGTAAAATTATTAATATTCTTGTTTTAAACATGTAGTTGAGTCAGCACTGCTTGGCACAATGCCATGTGTTACAAATAAAACTAAATCAACAATAGAAAAAAGGTAAAATGGAACTCTAAACTCATTTGATAAATTATCACATTAATTTCCTGATCTCGGCCAGCAGTGAGTTTAAAGCCAGGATGATTCAAACATTCATACTAAATAGTCATGAAATCAAATGTTTACTTTAATATGTTTAGCAACCTGTTAAAATACTCCAGAATGCAGCAAACAGCATCTAATTTCATCAAAATTTCCTGGGGGAGAACCACCAGACCCCCCACCAGTGTGAGAAGATGCCTTTCTTGGAAAACTGAATTTTGTGCACAGAAGTAATGAAAACTTGAACTGGTTTTACTCTTCAGATGCTGTGGTACAGTAACTGATGATTAAAGCCACCAGCTGATCCTGCTCCATGGTCCTCACATCTGTCTGACCAGGTCTGAGCTGAGAGAGTCTGCAGAGCTCCTGCAGATGTTCACAGAGACTTTGAATTCTTCCAGTGAGGTTGGAGGTCAGATTTATGACAGTTAGGCTGATTTTGCCAAATACACATACAGTATATATA